CGCTGAGGTCATAGGCCTGTGGGCCCAGGTAATTTTATTCTTTTTTGGTTAATACCTACTTAATAGTAGACATAAATTATGACTTAACTGCGGTAGTTAGTGAAACCCGAATTTGTACCAAAAGAGAATTCTTCGGTTCTGTGATGGGGAAGCAACAATGCTAACTTCTAGTCTTCCGTCTCACTGATGATGCTCCGACAGTTTTGGCTCCTGTGCAGCCTAGTCTCCTAAGACTCGGGACCACCGTGGAACTCTGTTAAAACCTTAACTTTGGCTGGGCGGTGGTGGCCAGGCCTTTAATCCCAGCACACAGGAGACAGAGGCAGGTGGATCTCTGTGAGTTTGAGGCCAGCCTGGTCTACAGAGTGAGTTCCAGGAAAGGCTCCAAAGCTACACAGAGAAACCCTGTCTTGAAAAACCAAAAAACAAAGATAAAAACAAAAACAAAAACAAAAAAATCTTGGATGAATTGAAACTATGACCTCCCGGAGGTAACAGCTTTTGTTAGTGTCTGCTCTTTAAACGGCAGTTAAATGACGCCTTTGGGATTCTGATCGTGTCTGTTTGGTGATGGTTGCTTTCAAGTAGAATCCCGGACTCTCATCTTGTAGAACCAGTTCACATTAGGAACCGGCTGCTTCTGTGGTGTAGATTTAGATTTCAACAAATCCATAGACCCTATCTGACTGAATCAAATGCCTAGGATCAATTATTGCTAAATTGGCGTGGGAGTGAATTACTATGAAACTCTTTTGAAGACCCTGTAATCTATATAGCTGTATTCATTTTTTCCGCAAAAATATTTTGTGTGCTGTCCTAGCTGCCTGTGTTTGTTTTGTGTTTTGTTTCACAGTACCAGCTTACAAAAGAAAAATGTTCTTCCCTAGAACAGAATACAACCTGAATGGTAAATCCTAGATTTTAAGTTCTTACAAAGGTCAATGGAATATCCTGTATACCACTATGTTCCGTAAAACATTTATCAAATATTTCCCAAAATGACTATGATAAGTTCTTAAATTTTAACCAGTATCTAATGAATATAGCCTGGGAAATCTTTTGCTTTCTTTTAGCCCATCTATTTTCACATAACATAAAAATATTTATGGCCCAGATTATTTATTTGACACATTACCTATTTGACTTAGGACTAGTTACATGCCTCTTAAATGTAGGAGCTGCTACATGTTTTTCACTGTAGCAAATATGAAAAGTATGACATGCTTGATCTTAAAAGCTTACAACTTAACTGGAAACAATATTAAGATGAGATTAAATAGTACATATCATATCAAATTACTCATCATAGAGACGCTATCTTATTTTGGTCCTATCTTTTCCATTTGTTGTTGTTGTTGTTACCATTTTGTTTTAAATAAATGACTTAGATAAGATACAAGACATGCTTGTTAAATGCCTGGACGGTTCAATACTGGAAGTGAGAAATGGAAGAGTAATACATTGAATGTTAGAAATAATGATTCGGTACACAAGAACATTGTACTCAGAAGAATTAACAAATTAAAATGAACAGGGACAAATGTAAGTTCCTGTGTTTAATTTCAAAATTTCAATAGCTTCAATACAGGATGGAAAAAAAAACTGCAATTTTCACACTCGAGACAGTCCTGCTGACTTTTAATTAACCTAGCTGTTCCTAAGAGGCTTGCTGCTTATCAAGCACCCTGCAGGCCCAGCGGCCTCACCTCCTGACGTACCTGCAAATGGAATCTCAATGGTCTACAACATGTAGCTAAGGGAGAAAGGATGCTTGCTGACACGATCCCATCGGGACAAGATACAGCACTGTAGGAAGGTCCTGTTTCATAAAATAGCTTGTAGAAGTGGGAGACTGTCTGTGAGGGACAGGGAAACCGGGCTACCCAGAAATGTTGAGTAACCACAGGATGTTTAGTCTAGAGAAGAAAGATTATGGGACTTTGATGGTTGTTTTCATCATTTAGAGAACTATTGTGTGACTACAAGGGGAATCTTGAGACCCATTGGGGTTATTTCAGTTGGCCAGTAGGGTAAGAACGTTAGAGAGCGAGAAATTCATTTTGATGTCTTCGGAAGCCTGCCTCTAAAGGTTTCTCCGCCCATGAGCATTCCAGAAGCTGGCTGGTAGCCCGGCCTATAGAGAAACACATTTTTGCCAGTAATTCTGATGACTGATCTTAGAGGACTCCGCTGATGCTACTGCTTTTGTTCTTATTTTCCGAGAGAAATGGGAAAGAAACAACACTTTTCCTGTGTCTTCTGACCCACAACAATTTTGCCAGAGTGTATTACGTGTTCCTGTCTTCCCCACCTTCCCTGGATGTAGCAACCTTGGCCTAGTTAACACAGTCTGTTATACCTGATAGAACTTGATCACAGTGAATCTGTTCCAACCACGATCACACACTGCTGAGCCACTTCTGGTGAAAGGATCACTAAGAACTAAATTGTGACTCCATGGGTCCACCAATTGGACACGCAAATGCCATTGCTGAACAGAACAGTCAAGACAGGGGAGATCTTGCCTCAAGATGAGGTAAATGGTCAGAGCAGGTTCACAGGCCAGAGCCCAAGAGAGGAAGTGTGCACAGAGCTCCCACTTACAGCCTGCAGCTTGACGTAGGAGTATCGATTCTCTGAGAAAATGTCAAAGGCAGGGAGGCACTTCTCAGCGCCCTGCAGCTGCCCTAATATTTACTGTGGCTGTGTCTCCCAGGCTTTGCAGTCCAGAGTGGCATCTCCTGAACACCTGCTATGTTTTTTGAAACGTTCCCAGATGTCATCTTGCAACTAGGAAAAGAAAGTGACTCCTCCACTGCCATTTCTGTTGTTACCTTCTGACCAGTCCATGCTTGGAAAACAGAGTGTGGCGTTCTACTGGAAAAGACTGTGGTATATGGCCGCAAACAAGTTGCTATCACTGGACACTGAAGTTACCTCTTCGCTTCTTGCCAAATACATAGTTGTGGCACCATGTCAAAACTGCCTGAGGAATGACTGTTTAGCTCAGAGGATGCAGTCTTACTGCCTCAGTAGTTGGACAGACATCTGTCTATACAAGGCTAGTTTCAGTTGTCATTAACCAGAGGTCATGTGACAGAACAGCACATCATGCTTTTAAGTTGGAATTGCCTATGTAATCTCAAAATTATTCTGAATAGTATCAACCACCACTAGGGAAAAAAAAAACTAGATAAAACCAAGAAAAAAAACTAAAATAGGATTTGTTGTGTGACTGAAGAGTTACATAGAGATGACAAAAATTCAGATAATTACTATAGCGATAATTCTTACTCAGTGAAATGAAGAATAGGTAACTTTTGTATTAATGCCTGACAATTTCATCAAGCTAAAGAACAATCAGCCCAGGAGAAAGCGTGATAAAATATTGTGTATAGAAATGCAGGATAAGAAGCAGTGATTTTTCTCACAAAGCAGCTGCCTTCTATCCATCTATGGCACTGGGGATGCTGAACAGCTGGTGATGACATTCGCCCCAGCAAAAAGGAAAAGCGAGAGCCGATTCCCAGTTTCCAGTCAGCTGAGGGATCCACCCACTATTGTGTTTAGATGCCTAGCACACCCAAGGGCTGTTTGGTGCCCTACCAGCCTGAAACAAACCACTTTACCATAGATCTTTAACTTGTAGGAAGAGCAATAGATCACAGCTCAGCTGTGCTTTGTTAACCCGCTTCCATCACTTTTAGCCCCGATGCATGACATTCTAACAGAAGATGGATGATAAGGCTCCAGTGAAATAATCCCTCCACCCCAGCGGCTCTGAGTTTACCTGCGCTCATTATGACTTTGTAAGCTAGTCACTGTCTTGCTTTAACAGAGGAGGGGGCTGAGACCAAATGTTCTTAAGGAAGTTGTGTAAATCACACAGGTAAAAATTAGCACAGGCGGTGTTTTGAGCTAAGTGGCCTGACTCATTCCGGAGTCCGAGTATTCAACTGTAAGGTTCCATCACTGCTCTGGTAATGGTACATAGGCAAAAATACTTCCAGGAGGCAGGAGGATCAAGGTTCAAGGTCATTCTCTACCACAGAGTGAGTTTAATACCAGCTTCAGCTATAGGAGATCCTGTCTCAAAGCACTATAATAATCAGGTGCCTTGAGTGCGTGGCATTATACTGAGCCATACACACACACACACACACACACACACACACACACACACACACACACACACATATATGAGAGTGAGAGAGAGAGAGAGAGAGAGAGAGAGAGAGAGAGAGAGAGAGAGAGAGAGAGAGAGAGAGAGAGGTGTTGCCATGTTGCTTAATGATGGAGAGATGGTTCTGGAAAATGTATCATCAGACAACTTCGTTGTTGTATGAACATTATATATGTACAAAGGCGGATAGCACAGCCTAACACACCTAGATGATACGATATATGTACAGCGTTTCCTGTGTCTCTCAAAGCCAGCAGGGGACAATGACTGCACGAGAGACGACAACACAGTCAGGAGGTACAATAACTGTGATACGTCTGCAGTGGCTGCTGGCCTAACATGGCGTGCAGTACAGTTTTCCAGTCGACTTTTAAAATTGAAGCCGGAGCACATGCTCAGTAACACTAAGAAGTGTAGCAAATACCAACGCTAGCAATGAAGTCGTTTGTCGCCATTATTCGTTATTAGGGAATGTACATAATTACACCTCTCAGCGGGTGGGCGTGTTCACGCCAGTGTCATTGTTATCACTAACCTATGAGTAATGCATCACGATATGACATCGGTGCACAGCATGTGACTACATTGACATATTAAACTTCACCGGCCAGGAGGTTTAGACACAGGTAAGAAGGATAGCAAATATATATATTTATTTATATATTATATATATTTATTTATATATTATATAATATATATATATATAATCAGCTATTCTGTATGTTTGTCATAACACTCTAGCTCTCATGACATGTGTAGGTGACAGGACTATAAGGTGTCAGCAAAACTGACTTCTTTTATGATCTCTTCCGTGCAGGGGTGGCATGGTCCAAACCAGTGAGCAGTATGAATTTGTGCACCATGCTCTGTGCCTGTACGAGAGCAGACTTTCACCAGAAACCGTCCAGTGATTCCGTGAAGATTTACCAGAGCGTCCATCTCTCATGGGTGATTCATGAAATCGCCTACTGAAGGCTCCTGGGAGGAGCTTCCTGCAGTGGGATGAGGAGGCGCCCAAGCCAACCTGAGGCATGGACTGTGGAAGACCTGGCGACATGCAAGGTTGCCAACCCTTTGTGTATAGGAATGCATCTGTAGGCATCCCCCAAACTATTTCGAAGGTCCCATGCTGATGGAGGTATGATCATTTCTCGCACAGCCCGAGGTGGATTTTATTTCGTCTGTGTTGATTATCTGCCACACAGAATCTATGTGTGTGATACTCAGTGACAGTCATTGTGACGGCAGGAGGAGCCGCTGAAGACGTCGCGATCGTGTGTTTAGATGTTCATAAAGTCTGTCTCGTGAATGGACTGTCAGCTATCCAACTGTTCCGGTTTAAGTGCTATTACCTATATCTCAGTTACCAGAATCTTGCTGCTAAAGTTGCAAGTGATCCATCACAGATTTTTAACAACTACATTTTTGATTTTGAAAAAAAAAAAAAAAGAAAAATCAAATGCCGTAACTATTTTATATGGAAATGTGTCTTGATAATATCTATTAAATGTGTATTTATAGTACCTCCTATGGATCAATTACAGAGCACAATGGCTGTCATTGGATACATACATATATATGTGTATATATACATACATATATATATATACATACATTTATATTCTATTATTAGGCATAGAGTTGGCACCTGTCCCACAACTCTAACTACTATATTTCTACATTGTGACTTGTTTTGCTTTAAAAAGGGGATAAACAAATTTATAGTAACTATAAAGAATCAATAATTTTAAATACTCATCTCTCTTCTACTAAGAAGGGATTTTTTTGAATATGCTGTCTGCCTGGAATCTCTCTCCCAATAAAAGGCAGGTGCCTTTTGGGGATGCTCCAACCTGTCTCATTCCCAGACATTCTTCTAAGGATGCTGTCATGCACGTCCTTACATTTCTAACAGGTTTCATTTCTCAAGAGACAAATGAAGGTAAAAATACACCCAGCCAACATGAGATGTTCTGCTCATAAATGAATTTTCAATGCAGCAAAGTTGACTTTGTTTCGTACCTACCAATAAATGACTCTTAACACTAAATATTGAGTGGAGTGTATTCTTTTCTTACCCCCACTTGGAAAAAGGCCATCGTGTGGGCAAACTGAAGTAGGTAATATGATGGCTTTAATTTTAGTCTTTTCCTTCTCCTGGGTAGAGATGCCTCTCTCCAAAGGCAATCTTATAATCACTTGAGAGATAATGATCCAGAAGTGCCATCATTATGTGGTTTTCCTCATAGACGCCAGCATCTCATTATACCAACAGTACATGTTTATGTCTTTATATCACTTGTCACAGACCCCCATAAATTACATGGCTTACGTATATTGGACAGAACCGTATCACCTGAAAATAAGGCATGGTGTAGGGAGACTCAATTATCTAACATTACAATTCTCTTTCTCCATCTTGAGGTTAAGATATAATCATGTGCCAAGGGATGGGAGGGGAAGACATTCTGGGGGTTTCTTCTGGCTCCTGGGGGCTGGATCTAACGTTTGAAAAGAGATGATCATTATACCTTCTTTCTAAGGAAACAGAAACAAGGACAGTGGTGTAAAGCTTCCCCCAAACAATTCAATTGGAGGAAGTGTGTCACTGACTTTTCCCCTCTCCGTGAAGCACGTTTCCTTCCTACTCTTCGCTTCTCTTATCTGGGAGGATTTTTTTTTCCCCCAAAGCGAAGCATGAACCGTTGTTAAGTGGAAAATGGAGGCTGAATTTTACGTGGCGATTCTAAGCTGCCTGATCCTCGGGAGCTTGGGTGAGTGGGTCTGCCTCAGTGTCCTGGGGCATCATCTCTCTCAAAGTTAGTCGAGGAGGCTGGTAGCCTTTGGAGAAGTATCTGAAATAAGTCAGGATTGGAGCCAGGTCTCCATGGCAGTGTAGTCAAAGACAGTGAGGAGGGGGGATTAAAGGAGACAGCTCTGGCCACACTGCTGAAATTTCTCTCCAGAAGAAAATAAGTGTTTACCAAGTGCCTGGGACAGCTCAGCTCCTGAAAGGATGGGCCTCAGAGAGAGGAACCAACCCTGAGCAAACTTCTTTCATTATTTATATGTGACCATCTATAGCCTTCTCTATGCTGTTGTTGTTGTTATTTTTCCAATCAGGTTACACTTTTTTTTCTTTTCTGTTAAAGAAAAAAATATATGCATAAGGAATATGATTAAAGAGAGTAAGGAAATGTGTCTTATTTGGAAGTTGTCATTCAGAAGGATTGAATATTTCCATGGAAAAGCTAAGTAGTTTAGGTTAAAAACTCATTGAAAACGATTTCTGAGCCTGAATATTTTACTTTTTTACTGTGAATGTCTCAAAACGGGGCATTTAGTCTTCAAGAGATGCTGATATTTTTTAAATAGGTCAGTGTTTGGTGGTAAACTATAGGTATCATTACAATGCTTTTCTACAGTACTGCAGGAATATAGATCTAGTAATCAATACTTTTGCTGTTGTGTACCAGCCACAAGTTATGCTTGGAGAGGTGGGAACTTGCATTGTATCTTTATCTTTTAGTAAATGTGCCCCATCTTAAAAGCGTTTATTCAGACTATGCAGCTCGTAAACAAATATTTATCTACTCTGGGAGCTTAAGGACTGAGAAGGAGACATCTCTCTCATTTATATAATGGAATGGGGCTATGCTGTGAAAAGGACCAAATGATTAAAGAGCTCAAAGCTCTGTATTTAATTGACTTTGATAACACACACACACATCATTCTCTGTGTTTATCTTTCTTCATCCAATGAAAAGCCGTATTCTTTGAATGACTTTTCTTTTCCAAGATCCCTTTCATTTTTCTAGTGGGGATATGTTCTCACTAAATCATACAAAAGTTCAACAGGGGAGTGCTGTGTATAATGTTTTGATATTCTTTTGTTGTCTCTGGGGGTTTTGTTGTTGTTGTTGTTGTTGTTGTTGTTGTTGTTTTGGTGGGTTGATTAGTTGGTTTGGGAGGGTGTTTTTGGTTGCTTAGTTGGGTTTGGGGTTTTTTTTGGTTGGTTGGGCTTGTGTGTGGTGATGGTAGGGGGGGTATGTTGTTTGTTTGCCTTAAGATTTTAAGTCACGTGAGCTAAAATCTGAGATTATGCACTTGCAGTGCTAGAAAGTTCAAAATATAAGTAAACCTGGTATTTTTAATTCAGCTGGTATGTGGGCAGGTGGTTTTACTATTTAATGGTAATATTTAATGGCCCTTCCATGGTACTTCATAAGTCTTTCATCTTCCAGAGGGGTTCCAGATAGTCCATGTCCGTAAACAGCTGTGTCTTTCCATAAATCAGAAAGTGATTATGAGCTCATGCAATGGCACCAGCCAGAACCAGCAGTGGCTGTCGACTGAGAACGGGAAGCTCCTTCACATTAAATCTGGATTGTGCCTGGGCATCTCCAACTCCTCAAGGGGTCCTTTCCGACCAGCAGTCTCCACTCCCTGTGCCCAGGCACCCCGATGGACCTGCCATGATCCTGAAGGTTTCCTTGAGGTGGAAAATACCTCTCTCTTTCTCAAGAAACAGAACCGTAAGGTAGTGGTCAGGAAGATCAGTAAATACCTCGATAGCTGGATGAAATTAGACATCACCAGCGAGGGAGAGCTGGTCAATGAAAGCCTCTGCGCAAAGCAAGGTGAGTGACTCCTTTCAGAATCAGTTCTGGAAGTCATTCTGCTAACGGTCTCATCTTCGCAAAGCCCATGTGCTCCCATCTATCTCCTTGGGAAGATACATACATTTACTAACAGAAGTATACCACATGGTACCCAGCAATGGAAAACTTCATTATCCTCATTAAACTCAGCAACTTCTCTGCCTAGATGTCTTCTTTCCCTTCTTTTCTTGTGCTTATTCAGACTTTAAAATGTGTGTGTGTGTGCGCATGCATGTATGTGTGCAGTCTCATGTGAGTGCCACTTCTTGCATGTAGAAAGGTCAGAGGACAACTTTGGGCCTTAGTCCTTGACATCCACCTTATTTGAGACAATGTCTCTTGTCCACCCCTGCATACACCACACTAGGTAGCCTACTACAAGTCTCTGAATTCTCCCATCTCCATCTCTTATCTCACTGTAGGAGAGACTTGTGCTATTGAACCTGTGCCCTTCAAAAGCTCCTGGGGATCTGAACTCAGTTTTCATACCCGCTGAGTCATCTTATTGGGTCTAAAAAATGTTTCTCAAAGTCTCCCTTTTGTGCCACACACTATGATCAAGGACTACTAGGTGTTGGAATATACATCCAGACATATACAAACATGTAATGACTAAAGTCAATGGTCAGGAAATTGATTCTACTGGCCTAGAAACTTCTATCCTTTAGTGAGGAGGAGTATTAGAACACAGGAAGAGATGTCAAAAGGCAGGGTTGATACTAGGCCATGCTTTGAAATTCTCTCATATTGATGTTCACATCATTCGAAGGCCACCTACTTTTTTGATACAGTAAAAGCCAACGAGCAAGTCATAATTTTTTCTGATTTGTTGATAGTGTCCCCAGATGATAGATATACACAAATATTTGTACATGCAAACACAAATTCCTGGTTCAGTACATAATGAGTCCTAAGTAGGAATATTTGTGGAACATCTATGCAGTTTCACCATCTCTTGAAGTTAACTGTTTTCCTAGTGAGTCTGCTCCTCCATCAGAGGTTGGCTCAGGAAGTCATGAAAGATAAAACTCGCAGAATCACAACACACTGAGGATGAAAGAGCTCAAAGACCTCTGGGAGAACCACTTAGAAATAGATCTCCACAGCAAATAGACTGAAGTTCATCAGGATGTAATGAATTGTCCTAAATTCAAGTTAACTTCTTGTCTAGAGTACATCCCTTACAAGAGTGCTGCCCAGTGCTGCCCAGTGCTCCCTTGTGCTGACCTAATGACTCCCAGTACTCCCTTGTGCTGACCTAGTGACTCCCAGTCCTTCCCAGCACTCCCCAGTTCTTCCCATGTTGACCTAGTGCCTCCCGGTGTTGATCCTGTTCTGCCCAGTGCTTCCCAGTCCCTCCCTGTGCTGACCTAATGACTCCCAGTACTTCCCTGTACTGACCCAATGATTCCCAGTACTTCCCCGTACTCCCCAATTCTTCCCAGTGCTGACCCACTGGCTTTCTTCTAGCTGGTTTCATGACAATGTCATGGGCAGAGCTCACTAAAAACACAGATCCCCAAGATTCCTTCCCACCTTTCTTCCTGCACAACTACCTCAAGATCCGGAGTCAGGCGCTATGGACCTGTCCTCATGCTAACGTGGGTTCATGGTCCTTCTTGGGGGTCAGCATCCACTGTACCTTAAATCTTCACTTCGCTACCCATCTCTGAGGCTGATTTGAGCTTTCCTACCATGCTAATCTTGAAGCGTTCTTCTGCCACTCACACACATGCCAAGCAAGTACTTAATTAGGTACTGGTTGAGGGCTCTTCTGCACTAGACACCGAGGTTTACAGTTGCAATTCTTCTATCAATTCTGACTGTGCAAAGTGGGTAAAAATACAGTAGACTATTAGAAAATTCAACTTTATCAGAAAATATACAGCACGTAGAGACAATCTATAACAGTTTCTTCCCTTGTGGTTGACTTGTCCAGGTCTGTCCTGAATGACAGAACCATGGTAAATAAAACAGTCATACTATTCATTCATTCATTCATTTATTTTCAAGACAGGGTTTCTCTATGTAGCTCTGACTGGTCCTGGAACTCACTCTGTAGACCACACTGGCCTCCAACTCACAAAGATCTGTCTGATTCTGCCTCCCAAGTGCTATGATTAAAGGCATGCACCACTACCACCCGATAACAGTTTTACTCTTACCCACAGAAAGGGAAACCCGTTTCTAACTTCAAATTATGCAAAGCAAGTGTTTGTCTTCATGATGCCTGCAAGGCCTTGGTCTTTTTTTGAGACTAGGTCTTACTGTGTAGCCCAGACTGGTCTAAAACTCACAAACTATGGATCCTTCTACAGAGGATTCTGCCTCCCAAGTGCAGAGATTACAAGTATGTACTCACACCCAGCTTGAACCAGCTTGAAAATAA